AGGTGATACTATAACCCAATCGGGATTCCATCCTGACATTCCCAACAAGAGCAAGGCATCTTGGGAATGTCAGAGCTTAGGCAGCTTAGGTCCCTGCCAGGCCGTCCTGCAGATTGTGCGGTTGTTAGGTTGTGCAATCAAAAGAGGGCACAAACGTGGTCAAGACCGACGACCGCTTGTCACAGGTCTGAAGACTTCTGACTCGACCATAGTCCGCAGTCGAAACAAAAGGCGCTGCAAAGTAGAAACAAACACAACCTGGGCCGGTTCGGAATCCCATGCACCAGGCCTCGTCCTCACTCTCATCGGCCAGGTGAAGCAAGAGGTGAAGGAATTCCTAGGCACTCTTTTTCTAAGGAGGCTGCACTCGAGCCAAGTACACCGTACACCCCGTATGTCTTGACACAACTCCCCACCAGTCCTTTAAGAGAAACCTTTTGTAAATCCTGCTGGGATTCGTCCCAGGTTTCTTGAAGCGTGTTCTCCCTTTTTGCTGTTGACTGCCGCAAGATGCAGAACAACATGTAAAGTCCCTTTGCTTTAGTTCATGGACTTTTTGAAGGAACCGTGCTTTAACCCCCCCTCTCTGGTTCGATGGACCAGGAGTGCAACCATTGTTTGTGCCAGTACGGTGATGTCCCCCACCAACCACCTGGCAACATCCCAAAAAGCTCTTATATAACCCCAGGGATCTTAGAATCTCAAACTACTACATGAATACATATTCCAAGTCGAAATCCTAGAAGTATGGGGGTGCAAACATTGAAAATCAACCCTGGAAATGAGGCTGCTGCGGGCATCTGGCTCTCTCCACTGGAATGCCCAACACCACCTAGATTCCAGCCAAACCCTCTGGAAACCGGGCCAATTTGTGTTTTTTTTCCGTCCGACTCCCACCATCTGTCCAGGTGTCTGCGGCATAGAGCAGAAGCTCCGGTGGTGTTGGCTTGACGAAGGGCGGCTCCATGGTGTGCGGCGCAGTGGCAAGGACCGACGCCACACGCTGCAGGAGGCCGCGGCCTAAACGACAAACTGAGGCACTGCCGCCATCGATGGACAGGCACGTTGTTTTTGGAGGGGGGGATTGCAAGCCCTCTCCAATCCAAGATCTATTTTGCTTGGAAAAGTGCCTAGTTGCCATTGCTAGACACTGTGCTAAACACCGAATCCTGATGCCACTCAACCAAATCTGAAGACCCCCTTCTGGCCTTGCGCTGCCCCCCACGGTGCCACTCCACGCGCGCGCAAAGCCACCAAGGCCGTGCTGGCGCAGCTGCAGCGCACCAGCGTGGCACGGCGCTCAGACTCCATGCGGATGTACCGCGCCTGGCCCAGCGGCCCACCCACCGAGCGTTGAAGGTCAGACGTTGCCAGGAGCCCCTAGTAGCGAACATTGCTCCTAGTAGCGATGCCAGGAGCCCCTAGTAGCGTCCTTGCTCCTAGTAGCGATGCCCTTTGCTCCTAGTAGCGTCCTAACGGTTCTTTTGCAAAACCTGTGGAATCCATGAGGCCTGGAATTGTTCGTCAAATGGGAGTTGGCTCAGTCAACATGAACCTTTTACCCTACCATCCGCTCATTGCCACCTGTTGTAAACTATTTGATCGTCTTCGCAAGCTCTGCACACTACAATAAGAGCTATAGTGGTCCCAAATTGACATCTTCAAGACAGTTGTAGGAAGGAAAGACTTATCTATGTTGAATTCACTTGTCATCTACAGTTATATATGTTGGAGTTATCTACGTTGGAGTTATGTTGGAGTTCTCTCTCTAGTTATAATTATTGTATCTGTACTACATGGCCCATGACCCATCGCCCATCATGGCGCTCTCCCAACTCCCGTACTAGTACGACCCTGGAAAAAATCCTCCACATCCACATCCGCTGCCTTCTCCAAAACCCAATCCTCTTGGTCGGAGCCAGTGAGGACCTTCTCAGCATGTTCCATGGCCAAGTGGTATTTCTTGTAGAGTTCCTGGAAAGAAACAAAGCAGTCGGATACAAGCAAGTAGAAGTTGAGCATGCTTGGTCGGTGCAATCTTAATATGTATTTATATACATAGAGAGAGAGAGAGTGTTTATTGGTTTTTTTTGGAGTTCTTTTGCTTGCAGGTAGATGGATGACACCGGTTCCTTTACTGCCTCCCAGTGTTTCCGCCCTCTCTGTGGGAGGTACCCCCCAAGTGTTTCCCTCGATCTACCCACAGGCTCACTCCTGATCTGCCAAAGAAGAGACCATCCAATCCAGGGCCGTTGAGTCCACCGCGTCCGCCGAAGAGCCGCCCAGCGCCGAAGAAGCGGCGCCAGCGTCGCCCCAGAAGCGCCGCCAGTGGCCCAAGCCCGCCATGGCCACTGCCGAGGACAAGCTCTGCAAGCGGCCCGAGCTCTGCGCAGCACCAAGAACTTGGAAAACCTGGTCGCAGAAAACGACAAAAAATGAAGAAAATCCCTTTGTGAGCTTTTCCAGGCACCTTTTGGGTATAGTAATCATGGTACATCATTTCTTGACTTTGGGTACTCTTTGGCTCTTTGGTCTTCAAGGGCATGGTAGACGTTTTCCGCCCAACCCCGTTCAACCAGGTAGTTTTCCATTCACCATCTGGAGGGTTGGAGCAGTTCGGAGATCCTCACATCTTCCCCTCCTTTCTGCGTGGGATGTTCCATCTGTTCAGGCAGTCAACTTGCGACTCGAATCAGCAAAACAGGTGGAGTGAAGACTATGTAAAGATACACACACAACAAAAGAATACAAAAAAGGAACATCTTCCAGGGGTGATGTCGCCTCACACATCATCCGGCCTCCCAAACAAAGTCCTTGGAGTCCTTGGAGCGCAAGGCCAGCTGCACCCCCAGCGCCTGCGCGCTGCAGCGCGTCTCCGGCGCGCTGAGGGCACCTGACCGAGTCTTCAGATTCCAAGAGGGATCCCATCGACTTGGTCTGACGAGGGGGGGTGGACTTGGACTCCAAAGTTTGAGGCAAATCCTGACTTGATGCGCCTGACTTGAGGCCAAATTCCCGGCATCCCTTTTTTCTAGGTTTCCTCAGTGCGGAAGCTCTGCTCATCCACCTGGCCTTGGCACAAGGTGCATATTGCCTTGACTATCCCCAAGGCCCCGAGTCATTTGGACACCTGTCACCACTCACCGGTCACCTGCAAAGGCTGTGAGTCGCTCCAGCACCAAGGGCTGGTGGTCGACCTCGGTGAGAACGGAGCAGGAAAGGAGTCCTAAGAGAGAAATACTCTCAAATCTAGTAGCGATGCTTTCTTACTAGTAGCTGCTAGCTTCTTGCTACTAGTAGTCATGCCCTTGTTAATAGTAGCAGTATGTCGCGATGCACTTGTTACTAGTAGCTAGTAGATGGCACGTTCATCTCAAATGCGAACCTGCCAAAGATCTCCTCTTCAGAGAAACCTGCGAACTCCTTTGCAACCTCCGCACTCCTTTAGGTCCGGGTTGTACATGTACACCTCGAGTCTGGGGGATCCTTCCAACTTCGTCCCAAACACTCCACCAGTTCCACCGTGGCACTGTTGCGAGCGAAGCGAATCACTCAGACAGACATCCCCACCTCCAGGAAGACCGTGGCTGGCGTAAGCTGCAGCACGCTGCGGAAGACCTAGCAGGAGTGGCTCTTCCGAGCCCGTCACGGCTTCGCGAATCACGGCCTCAAGTTCGAAAGTAGTAGCTTCTTCTTGCTAGTAGCGATGCCCTTGTTCCTAGTAAGGAAATGCTAGCTTCTCTTTCACCCTCTTTCATCCTCTTTCACCCGTTCTCATCCTCCCCGTTCTTATCACCCTCCTCGCCTGGAAGGACTCCTCGGAGCGCTCCATGATCTGCAGGAAGGCACGACGGAAGAGGCGCTCCTGCGGATTGGCCTGGCGCAGGGGACGACCAGTGCACCGGCCGACCCGACGGCTCAACCCGGCCGAAGGGGTGGGAAGAACGGAACGAGTGCCAGTGCGCAGGATGAAGTGACGGTTGAGGGAGAACTCCAAGGGGTTGAGTCTTGTGGGCGTCTGAGTAAGGGAGTTCAGGTTCATTGTGGGCGTCTGTTCTTGGGCTCTTTGGTGAGGCTTCGAAAGGCAGGCGTGAGACAGAGCCAGAAAGAGACTCTCTGATGACTCTGTTGGAGTGCACAGATTGACCTGAAGCTTTAACAGTGGCACCAAACACAATTGCAGTTGCATGAGTTCCATGTCACCATGTCACAAGCTCCAAAAAAGACTGCTCCAATGCTCCAAGCCTCCGAATCATCGTCCAAAGAGTCCAAGCTCTCCTGTGGATTCGGATCACTTGGGCTGAACAGCTTCGCAACAGCCAAGCTGGCTTGCCCAACAAAATAACCGAGCTCCCATTCAGCCGGCGCGATCGAAAAAGCTTGGAACCAGCGCAGAACCCCTGCCGTTGCTGCGCCTGTTGGCCCTGGCTCAAGAGGGATAAAGCCCGCGCCAGCGAGGCATCCAGCTCGTCCTCCAGCAAGGCATCAGCCTCACAAGTCTACCAGAGGGCAACAAAGAATTGGAACTTGGAATCATGCGATTCAGTTGAGAGAAAGTCGGTTCAAAACTAAAGGGGAACAGCCCGAGAGGCCGATCACAGCTACGAGATGCTACGAGCTACCAATCCCGGAACGCCCTGTTCTTCCGTGCAGTTCACCCTTTTGTGCGCACCTCCAACTCCGGCGTGGTCCTCAGGGCATCCAGCAGGAAGCCAGCAGGGTGGGGTTGAATCTTAAAGGAATCCAGGAACCCATGAAGGATCATAAAAGAATTTATAGGTAATCCCATGGAAATTCCTATGAAATGCACTCCTTCCTCCAAGGAATTACAAAACACCTCCATTGCGGCAAGCCGCGGCTCGTTGTGCTGCTTTTTGCGGTTGTCAGGTTCAGCAGCCTCGCGGCCGGGAAGAATGAAAGCCGTGGCACTGTGAGAAAGAGAAGGGACAGATCGAAACACAAAGGAGTCCGCTGCAAGCCCCAGTCGCTGCTCCAGAGATCAGATCTTTCTGATCTTTCTGCGCCCCTCCGACACCCCAAATTCGCAGCAAGAACAGAAACAACGAACCAATACCGGAAGGCTCTTCTTTCTTCGCGGTCTCGTTCCATGTCAGGCACTTTTGGGAAAGGCCAAGGCCCTCAGATGCGCCGACTCCCAAAGACCGTCCACACACTTCTGCTCCTCTTCAGCAGTAAGCTTGTTTCGTGGGTTGCAAACGTATTTCACCTGCTCCAAGGAGTTCCGGTCGATCTCCTGACCGAGCGGCACAGCCGAGGTCCACGGTCCAAACGTCCAAACGGGTTCAATCGCTTTGTGTGCTTTCGAACGGTTCGGGTGGAATGCAGCTCGGTTGGGAATCGGGGTGTCGCGGGGTTCGGGGGCGGAATCTCCGAAGTGTGCCTCTAAAATGGCCGAGAGAATACAACAGAACACAAAACCTGGCAGTCTGTTGCAGGGAAAAGAAGTTTCACATCACTGGGCCAGCTTCTGAAACTTGGCAAGGAGACTGGCCGGTCCATCAACCCCCCGCCACGCACCACCACCAACTGTACCAACTCCAGCCTGCATGGCCCCTTTGACCTTCTGGTAGACTTCCTGATCAAAAGACCGAAGCTCCCAAAAGGCGGCGACCATGTGATTGAAGTTCTCCAAAAGCACCTGACCGGTCACCGAACCCTGGTCGACCCGGTCTACTAGCGATGGCCTCCAACCTACTGGCGATGGCCTCCAACCTACTAGCGATGGCCTCCAATGGCCTCCAGCCTACTGCCGATGGCCTCCAACCTACTAGCGATGGC